CTCCCTTTATATAACAATCTGCGGAAGATATCATATCCAACTTGTTCCCCCCAGTACCTTTTCTTCTTCGAATAAATATGAGAAAAAAGTGTGGTTGATGAGAGTTATCTTTTCGAAGCGCAGTCTCAACCAGAGTTCAACCAGAGTTCAACCAGAGTTCATCCAGACTTCAACCAGACTTCAAACCAATAATGTCTATTCACAAGTGGGCGTATTTCGTCACATAAAAGGAAAAAAATCCTTCATTATTGATTATTATAGATCTATATATGTCAATTCAAAGACGGAATAATATATGATTAGTCTAACGCCAGTAGGATAATAAGAAATTAGAGTTACCGTTAGCAAAGCTAACCCGCATGTGGTATATCTTTGTTTAAGATCACAGCCCCTCCCAAATAGGAAGTTTGTTATGTAGAATGGTTATTATTACCCTACCCCTATTTCAATTGTAATCAATAAAGATCGGAATATTTTGATCGAGATCCGTAGATGACGAATCACACATGTATTACTAATTCCTATTCAAAGACGGAATAATATATGATTAGTCTATATACGTAATTTGAATGCGCTAACGTCAGTAAGATAATAAAAATATACCGTTTATCGGAAGATCTGAAAATCATATATTCTAGAATTTCTTTTTAACAACTCCCTGTCTTACGATCCGCAATGTAAATCAGGATCTGTTTTTTTATTAGTAATTTGGAACTGCGTAATGAGTCAGATAGAACATACCAGAACATTGGGGAAAGTTAGTAACGCAAAAATATTGCTCTTGGCCGAGGTTATTAATAGATCCTCGCCTTCGGCAAAAATAACGACTGCGGATGCCGGTGACGTCTTACTGCGGAGGAATATAGGGATGACGTTTACATGATATCTAAGCCACCCACGTGATTTTGAAAGAACATATACCTTTAGAAAATGATTATTTGCCCTTGAGCTTCAGGACCTTTATTTTCGGCATCATTAAGCAAATCTACCACTCTTTCCGTGGATGTCGCTTTGTGTAAAGTCGCAACTGACCTACGGCTTAACCACCCTTTTTTACCCTCCCCTATTTGAATAATGAAATCCACTATGCGGTCGTCTATTGCATTGCTATAATGTTCGGCCTTAGCGCTTCCGGCCAGGTGATCGGTCCACATGACGAATATAGAGATGACGTATATATCTAAGCCACCTACGTGATTCGAAAAAAAGAAATATAATTCAGTCTATGCTTTTACAGATACTATTGGGATGTCAGGATTAAGAGCTTTCCTGCATTCGAGCCAATAAGTTCGTTCTCCGTAATATTCACCAGCACCCCATTCACCTCTTATATCATTCCATATACTTTTTTCTTTATGCTCTCCATTACATAATGGACAGAGTGTTGAACTATTAAGATTAAATCGCTCACCACGTTCACTACTATCACTTAAAGATAGAGAAGGAAAACGCTCTAACACCAACCCAATGATATGTTTTCATTTCTCTTCGGGGTCTTCAGATAAGATAGAAATCAGGAGTTGAGATTTGTTAGATGATCCTATCTTACTGGAAGAAATTGTGGATGATGTACTCACCTCAGTTTTAGAAGTATTGCCTGGACTTGACTCACTTAAAGAATTAGAGACATGGGTTGAAGGAATAGGTGCGGTTGAGATGCTTACCTCAGCTGGTTTGGGTGTAGTTGATACATTTACTTCAGGCAAGATTTTTTTAGAACAGACTGTCTCAGAAATTTTGGTCACATGATTTGGATGACCCGAGGTCGGCGAAATTTCTGGATCAGTAAAAGAATTGGAATTATTAGAAAAGTGATCTATAACCTTTTGGAGATCTGTATTGGTAATTTTGAGATAGAATTTGTGCTATAAGTTTTGATATACTGGACCTTATCTATCCCTATTTTTTCGAATAAATCAAAGATTTTTATAGCTCTCTGAGTTTGTTTACATAAATTATCTCGCTTAGTATCAGGAAGTTGTTGGACAATAAAATCGTAAATCTGCCCTTTTGCCTTTTTCTCACCAACTCTATCGCTGGCCATGATATCTTTAACCATAATTAAAAATTCTTTAGCATACAAATACCAGCTTAATATCTCCTCTTGATTAGCTTTCATTGCGAGACCTTCTGCATCGCTGGCTCTTTGATATAAGCAAATGATATTTTCCTTACCTGAGATAAACGAAATTTCTGGAGGGTTGAGAGACAATGCGCATGTGAAATCATTCTCCTGAATAGATGAAGGAGTAGCGGATTCATCAAAGTTGCGAGAAATTTCTTGAATTAATCCCTGCCCATTTTTTGTACTCACGAGCTTTCCAGGAGAAGAGATACCAGAAGCAGTATCAGATATTTTTTGTAATGATACTTGACCTTGCCCTGCTTTACTAAGTTTCTTTTTCTTATTACGTTTCCTAATATTATTGCTAATGCTTTTCTTATGGACCTCAATCAAGAAAGCATCCGTCTCTATATCCTCCGATGTCTTCTCTTGATCTGGTACCTTTGGTACCTCTTCAATCTGCTCTGATAGTTTTAACTGTCTATGAACTTCGTGAACAGGCGACGAATCAGATACAACAACAGCTGATACCTCTGATGACACTTCCTTATCATTTTGTGGCTTTCCATCTACTATCGGGGGACTCTATTCCAATATCGCAAGTCTGGCTTCAAGCTCCCCGACTTTAGACTTGAGTTCAGTATTTTCAGCTTCACGTTTGGTATTCTCCTCAATAATCTGTCTCAACTTCACATTCTCGGCCTCAAGCTCGGTGATACGTTGTCTCAATAA